CATTTTGAGAAATTAGTAAAGTGTAATGTAAATTATCTGTGTCAGCATAGAAATCATTTTTATACAGTTATGTACAACAGCACATTGTATTGAAAAGCCGCCACATATTCGCTCCCCCGCCAATGCAAGTTATGTATAGGCCAATGTGAGGAACCACAATGGTTGAAGGGGAAGCATGTATTCCATATACACGGAAGTGCTAAATATTTGCCTCATCTGGGCAACAGAAGCAGCAGCTTTTCAATAAATGGAACATAGTAAAAGCTAAGGACATAAATGCTTCTTTTACGTTTGCATATTTAGCACAAAACATGTCAGCGGTTACCCAAAAACATTTGGCAAGCCACTCACCTTTTCAGCCAGTTTACATACAGTATCTCTCCTTGCATATTTCTTGTCAGGTGCACTTAATAAAGAAAAGCTGAATGATCATTGGACAATATTGGAAACAGTTTTTCCCTCTTTTCCCTCTTTGCCTTCATAGCAGTGAAAATAATGGGCTTATGCATAACAAATAGTCTGATGGAAAAGAGTGTATTTTCCTCACCAGTTAAGAACATGTCATGTCATTTTTCTCATTGACCTGAGTGTAGCAGGGGCTGTCTGTCATCATGGTAAGCATGAATATACATGCTTTAGGCCTCATTCACACACAACGCAAGCAAAATTGTATATTGCGTATACACGAGGGTCTCTGCGCGTACTATATGCAATCCCACATCACTCGTAATGGAATTTTTAATGTGCTGTACGCGTATATACGCGCAAATACACAGAAATACGCTGCCCGGGCGCATCTCTGTTCCATTCTGTTTTTGCGCATATATACGCAAATATACGGCTCCATACGCGGCTATGTGTATGGATCCATTTATTTGCTTATGTTGCATATGGTAGAATATACATGTACGCGCATATATGCGCGGCAGTGTGAATGAGGCCCTAGGGTATGGGATTTTCATGGATTAAAGGTGCCCACACACCTTACGATAATCGTACGGTAATCGTGGGAAATCCCGCGATCGTACGATTATCGTAAGGTGATAGTACACGCAGAACTCGGTATCGCACGTAAGGTAACCACGTATCATGTACTTATTCCCGTTATAGGGGTGTGTGAAAGAGGATTTTCAGGGTGTGTGTAGCATGTTGGTTAGATAAAAGCTGGATGGGCCGGTGTGCGCAAGCGCACACTGCCCGTTCAGCATTGCGATCATCGCAAGTACCATCTGCCTATCTAAGATAGGCAGATTGTACGTTGTTTTAATTACCTTGCAACCATCGCAAGACAAAAGTCTTGCGATGGTTGTAAGGTGTGTGCCCATACACCTTACCGATTATCGGACGAAAGTTTTCGTACGATGATTGAATAGTCGTACGATTTTCGTACGGCAGCCCCATCCTCCTCCGATGATCGCAAGATTAATTTAGCTGTAATTAACGAAAAGCACCTGGACGAAATGCAGTAATTGATTTGCCGTATTTTCGCTGGCGCAGTGTAGATCGTACGACTTTTGACGAACGGAAACGCCAGCAACCTTGCGACAATCGTACAATCTAGCAAAGTTTTCAAACATGCTTGACCGTCAAAAGTCATACAATTGTACAGTAATGTCTGTCGGACACTGCAATGCACACATACGATTATCGGACGAAAAGTCGAAAATCGTCCGATAATCGTAAGGTGTATGCGCACCTTTAGGGTATGAGTTTTGCCTCACACCTTTGGGTCAAACCAGCTGATGTTAACAGGTGACCCAAGCTAAACTAATCATTAATCCAGACAATAGGGAGAAAGTGAAAGTTTTTTTTTAAATTCCACTAGATGACATTGATAGGATAAATTAAGTCCCTTGATTGGTTTTAGCAGCCTACAGCAACATTATTATTGTATACCTTTTATGTGTACTTGCATTTTGTGTAATAGAAAAATGTGGTTTGTTGTATGATTTTTGGTTTGGTGGAAAGTAAACTTACTAGTTCTGTCTGCACGTCTTAGGTGATAGGCCACAGTACATTCGCAAGTATGCTATACATGCTTCGAATTTCGCTGCTTGGGTGCTGCTGTTGGCACACTTCACCTGGCATCCCTCGATCAGCTGATTGAAGGAGCAGGTCAGGAAATTCTTGGCCAAACTGAGCTAGCATCCAATCCTCTGCTGCTGTTAGAATACAAAGGAAACAGCGAGGGATTCGTCCATCAACATTTGTAAACATTGATGGAGGAATATCCAGCCTGCGGGTTGAATGAAAAATCTAGATCCATGAATACTCAAATTTGCTTTAGTTGCAGTAAATGGAGTGGAGCTTATTTGACACCACTTTAGGGATCCCTGATGGGTTAAGCTCCCACATATACATGGCACTACCAGACATAAGCTAATTAAGGAGAATAGAACATTTCCTGTTTACTTGCATCAGCCTCTTTTTTTTTTAATCACCCATACACATTTAGGTTTATGAAAGCTATATTGGTTTTCCTGAGATATGGGGCTTGAAGTCAGACCTCAGCTAGGTTGTGGACATCGGGGCCTTTAAACTATAATGGGATGGCTATAGTTGTGAACATCATGTATCTGGTTTTGGTATCCGATTGCTTATGTGGCAATAGTAATTCAATACACTTTTAGTCTTCACATATGCTCTGAGAACATAATTTTGCTTTTGTATTGAACAGTTTAGATAACCTGAAAGGTACGATATGGTGTATTTGAATTAATAAGGAAAGATTGATTCTTTTTAGACTTAAATCAATTAACAGATTGTCACTTCAGTAACAGCTGAAATAATCAATATTGCATGTAAATGACCAAGAGTT